ACCAAATTAGGTGACAAACCTGTAGGAAGTCGTCCTGTTGTGGATCCTTCTCCAGAGTGATGAAGAACTCGATGGAGTCGTTCTCTTCGGGATATATGATAGAGCAAAGCCTCTCGAATATGAAGACGGGTGTAATCATGTCGTGTATTTGGCATTTGTTGACCGCATCGACGCACACAGACATAAAGGCCGCCGTTTCCAGTTCCGTACCGGAGGTCATCTCTTCCAACAGTTCCAACAGCGACTCCTGGGTCTCGTCGATCACTTTGGTTCGCTGAACGACCAGTTTTCTCAACGATAGGTAACCGTTGAGAACGAAGGCAACCATTCGGGACTTGTATTGGCGCCGAATGGTCGACACGTCAATCAACGACTGTAACAACTCGACCAACATTTTCAGAGCGCATCCCTGCGATAGGTCTGAGTTGAGTGTTATCTCTTCCAATTGGTTCAGATTATCGATCTCTTTAGTGATGAGAAGTCCCAGATGTTGGAGGAGTCCGTGAAGTGCCAAATAGTACTTCCAGTGCTCTCTTTGGATGATAGTGTGGTAGAAGTTGAAGAACTCGTTGGCAAACTCTCCCGCCTGTCCCAAGTCGTCCAAATAAGAGGTCAACAAATCGATTATCTCTCGCTTTCGTGAGGGAATCTGGAAGAGGGCTTCGATCAGCGAACAGGCCATCAATCGCACGGAACGGGACGCGCCGTTAAACAGTATGGACCGCAACCAACTCGCCCTCACCAGACCGGCCACCAGTTTATCACTTTTAAGCGCCCGTTCTTTCCAACGCAAGCCATACTTTTCGCACAAATACTGTTGCCTTATCTCAGCTCTGCTTTTCGTCTCATTGGGAATGTCTGTCGAGAGTTGAGGCGTCGGTGACCTCTTGGCGGACCTCTGTTTCCAACTCCTGAATGAGTGTCTCTGATCGCCGGCCAACCACTTATTCAAATCCACATTAATTTGGAAACCATTGGTCTTAACGGTCGCCAACTGTTCGATGGATTTGTCTTTGTTTTTCTTACTGATCGACGTCTCGGGCTTTATAAGCGATTGAAGCAATCGAAGACATGGAAGTGTTATGGAGTCGAGTACTGCCGGCGAATCAATTTGCAGACCCATTAGGAATAATTGCATTACACAGCGGAGCCGTAGTTCCCAACACGAGTCCTCCTTCTCCATAGAACAGGCCAGGAGTGCGATCTCGTGGCGCACCGATGAGGACAAGTCGATGGCGGCGCCCGATCTTGACTTCAGCGCTACCGATATCTTATCCATGAGTAGATTGTTAAGATCGGCGGTCGCCCTATAGTTGTCGCGACTCAATGAGCACAACAATTGCCGCACTTCGTGGCGAACGTTGTTTGAGCCGATCCGGAGATTGTAATCGACTAATTCGCGGAGCAATCCGTATGAACACAACAGCGACCGGTATTTCGGTGCGATTGCCAGCGCCTTAAAAAAAAGAGTAGCAAAAGTTACAACATTTGAATCAATTATTATTGCAATAAAAGTGAACATTACTTTCAAAAGTGTGATGCAGTGCTCAACAGTGGCCGAAGCGCACCCGAAACAACGGCCCGACGACGAGGCCAACGAAGCGGTCACTTTGGAGTCGCGTCGGGCGCCGAGTCGTGGCGTGAAGTTGGATGGCATTGAAGTCTTCTCTTTCTGTTTGTTGTCGTAATCGACTAACTCTTTACGCGAAGCCAACACTTTTTGAATGATTTTCGACAACTCGTCGAACGAAGACTTGCAGTCTTGACAGTACTTGAGGGCCACCTGTTGTATGGCTCGGTTCACGTGATTGTTGGCCGCACCGGCAGGTCCAGCGCCAGCGTTTGGCGCTAACATGAGCACTGATTCGGTGTCGTACTTATCCATCATTCCGTGTTCTTGTATTCTCAACAGCAAGAGCTCTAACGATGGTTTGTTGGCGATTAAGCTCTTGTAGACCCGATCGGCCTTTTCTAGCAGAGAGTTAATGCTTTGAACAGTCTTTTTGCGGTCCTCTTCGTTCTCGATGGGGTCGACAGCACACGTGGGTTTGGCTGTCAGCGTGTAATCAAACTTTGCGTATTTGCAAAAACCGCACGAATTGCAGAGGAATGGATCCTTTTCGTCATAATTGATTGCTCGACACTTATGGCATTGAAACACGTTTTCGCCGCAATTGGTGCAAACGCCCGGATTGGCCGGAACTGTGGCCGAACATCGCGGACACTGCAACGTCTCGCTCGACGCCTGTATATTCTCGTAGAACTCCGCGTATTCTATCATCAGATTGCAGGCCACGATCGGCAGCGGGAACTCGATCTTCAGCTCTGTTTGTCCGGCGGACAGTTGATAGCGTCGGGCGCGATGCCAGAGAGCGGTCTTGTTCTTCAACTCCACCACCGAATGCACGGCTCGATTGTTGTAAAATATGTTTAGATTTTTCACCTGAATATCGGAAACAATATGATTGAGAAAACAAAGGGATTACACATTAAAAAGCACTTTAAAACTATAATTCAAACCATTTTTGATCGTTTGATGTCCGAAATTCTGAGCGTAATCTTCGATATGGTGTGCGAACCGATAAGTTTGACGATATGTGTGGTTGTCGTGAATCTCGAGTCCACTTTAATGGACGACAATTTCATATTCAGGTAATTCACTTCGGGATTATTGCAGACCAGACACGGCTCGCTCTCCAGATAGTAGCCGTCAAACTCGACCAACGATTGTAACGTATTGTATAAATTGCTATTCGGGTGACGGAACAGGTGTTGGTTCTGTTGCCGCAAAACTGTAAGCGCTTTCTCGGAGAATTCGCGCTCCTTTTCGTCGTTATAATTGATTTTTAGCGTAAAATAACCCAAAAGGTCGACAAACTGTGCGGCCTTTTTGCCATATGAGGGCAGTTTAGGCCACAGCGCCCACAGTATGTCCAATAGTGTCTCCTGTTGTTGAGCCGTAAAACTCTTGTACATATTGTAGATGAGAGAGTGTGCGGCCCATCGATGCGAACTCGAGTTAGACTCCAATAGAAAGCATTGTATAAATTGTGACAACAGATTGTTGTCCACGTATTTCAACATTTGTTGCACTAAATGAGTGTTTATGGGCTCTTCCATGTCCTCATCGAAACGACCACTACTGGGAGCTATCAATGCAAACAAAAACACCAATTGAAATACGAAATTCATATTTAGAAACAAACAAAACATTTCATATGAAAAACTTAATAACAAACCGATGGAAGCGGAGGAAGAGGTTGCGGCCGAAGACTTGGCACAGAGAGCGCACTGAAGTAAGTGTAGGACAATAGAGGAGACGCCTTCGTCCAAAAGAAAGCTCACTTGAATGAGAAACGGCAATAAAGTGGAGTCCTTTTGGCACAGTTTCTGCCAATTGATGGTACGATTTGTGGCGATCTCTGAACAGGCCTTCAAGTGCTCGATAAGCGATATGAGGGCGTCATAGGACAGGTTTATGATACCGTTTTGGTGCGAGTGCTCTACAAAACCGCCGTTTCGGCACAGTTTGCGTATTTCACTCATATGCGACTCCAATGAGTGTAAGTCACGGATCTGTCGGTAGCGCTCTTTCGAGCCGCAGATGTACGACAAGAGTTTGCGGACCTGTTTGCGGATATATGGCGTCAGATTGATCATCATATACTGGCACAGGTAGTCCGTCCAACACGGGCTGAACTGCGCTGTGGCCGGACTCGTGGGCAGAGCGTTGGCGATCTTCTTGATCTGATACGGCATTCGGAGTATCATTTCGGTCACCAGTTGTGGATACGACTCGAAGACGTCGTCGGCGTGTCCTCTCACGTATTGGCGCAGAAAGAATGGCGACATCTCTGGCGGTGGTGTCAGAAGGTGTGACTTGAGTGGTGTGGAGCTCGTAGTGCCCAACGGAGCCGACGTTCCCGTACTGTCTTCGCTCGTATAGGTCTTCCAATAGGACAGCAAATGGACGAGAATCTGAAGGCAAAAGTCCAGAATATTTGACTGCATTAGAGTAGTGGCCGTAACTGTGGAACAGAAGGCCGAAGACGTCTCCAATAAATCGGACGCAGAAGAGGGCACTTTAGATGAGCTACCGGTGCGGACGCGAGACATCAAAATGCTTAGTAAACGCATTATAATTAGTTTGACTTCATTTGTGGCGTTTCGTTGAATCATAAGCGATATGTCGTCAGAGTTTTGAGACAATTGCGACAAAAGTGTGCCCAACAGTGAGTTCAACACAGTTTTGTCGGCATCTCCTTCGCCGTCGAGATCTGATGTTAGCATAAGAATCACCTGAAAATCAACACAAATGTTATCATTATTATTATCAGACAATCTAAACAACTCAATGATTGCATACCTGCATGAATGGTATGGATCGCAGACCTCCGACGTTACGTATTTCGGGTAAAGAGTCGATCATCTTCTCGAGTAAAGCAATTCTCAAGTTATGCAGTCTTTGATTGTTGGTTATGTCGGGTTCGAGAGTGGACTCAAAGCTGATCATTGGTTGCACTCTGACGGGCGGTGGACCCAACTCTTCGCCGTAAGCGGAACTGCGACCGC